AAGCCACAACCTCAATCAAATGTTTTCCATTATATGAGTTGCTGTGATCATGGTGTCTGTTCACAGCAATAGAAATCCTAAAACATTTACAACATAGTTGTTTGCCAAACATGTACCTATAGCCTCATTGGGTGTGCCCTATGATCAGTTGACTGAGGAAGAGCAGGCTAGGGAATGGTTTACTGATGTTTCTGCACATTATGTAGGCATCACTCAGAGTGGACAGAGGCAGCATTACAAGCTTTATCTGGGATAACCCTGAGAGAAACCAGTGAAGGGAAATGTTCACAGTGGGCAGAATTTTAGGTAGTATACATATCCAAGCATTTTTTTTTTTAGGAGAAATGGCCAGAAGTGTGTCTGTTCACTAATTCTTGAGTTGCAGCCAATGGATTGGCTGGATGATCAGGGACTTGGAAAGAGTATCATCAGAAAATTGGTGAGAAAGACATCTGGGGAAGAAGTATGTGGATAGATCTCTCCAAAAGGGTGAAGCTGTGAAGATACCTGTGTCCCATGTAAATGCTCATCTAAAGCTGACTTCAGCTGAGGACGTGTTCAATAAACAAGTAAATTCTCTGTTTAAATAAAATGTGTTTTAAGATGCAAAGTTTAAGATATGAGGCTCTAAGAATGTTTCAGGGTATAACTGACATAATCTGCGCAAATGCATGTTATGAGATTTCGCTCTCTCATTATGCTACTGTTCATAGACTTAATATTAATCAGTAAAATTCTAATAAGCTATTAACCCAACTCTGACAGCATACTAAACACCATACTATACCACTGTCATTATAGCCACAAGCTCAAGATTTCAAATTCTTTTTGGTCATTTTCTAACTATAGACTTAAAAGTTGCTTTTCGTTGTGCTAATAAAAAATATCTGTCACAGTTTTCTAGATGGATGGGAGAGTGTGAATGCTTTCAACCAAAATCATTCCCAACATGAATATACTGCCGTTTCTACAATGCAAATTTTAGGAGAGATTATAAATAGTGGAAATGCTAATATGTCTAAAACTTAGGTTTTCACAAACTCAAAAAATTTTTGTAAGTTCCAAGAAGCTTAATTGGACCCACATAAACAAATCAGATTCACTCAAGATAAGTATCATTCAACTTTTCCCTGATCTTGGGATCCCCTTCCCTCAACTTGGGACCCCCAATCCTGAACCCTCTCCTTTGATCACCAGGACTTAAGAAAAATTTTTTCCCTACCTTAACCTTGTCCAGTGCTCTGCCAACATCTTGTCAGGTCTAAGAGGCACCAGACGGTTCCACATAGCCTGGACAGTGAAGTGAAACAACTAGAAACTGCAGGACGTAACCAGCATCCCAGCTTTCTCAGGTCCCCCAAAGAAGTTCAATGCCACGGATTAGCCAGAAGTCTTGAGTACCTGGTGTCCCTATCCCAGTGTCACCTGGATCCCCTTTAATCTCCACAACTTTTCATTGTAAGAATGAAAATGTAAGATGAGAATGTTGGGACTCAGGCGCCAGGCTGGCTTGTTCTGTCCTCTGGCAGGATGTACTTAGGCTAGACCCTGACCAGCCCACGGTCCTATGGCTGCTACATCACAACATAGACTGTATGGAGGTGCAAGGTGCAAAGGTCCCTTTAAGAGATAATCTCAGGCCATTCCTGTTCTCTTTTCTACTATTCATCTGAAGGGGCACAGCAGGACTTTTCCTGTCTCTTCTTCTCTTTCACTCACTCTCTTTCTCTCTTCTCTTTCCCCTCCCCCTTTCCTTTCCCCACTCCCTTTATCTCAATAAAACTTCCCACTTAAGCTCTATCTGCCTGGCCATGTTTGTCCCTTACCTGTTTTGGGGCTTCTGCAGGGGTCCCACTTGTGCCATTTTACAACTACCATGGTGAAACTGAATTGCTTCTACACAATGGAGGTAAAAAAGTTCATGTCTGGAGTGCAGGATATCCTTTATGGTTTCTCTTGGTGCTACCATGTCCTGTGATTTAAAGTGAGAAATTTCAGCAGCCTAACCCAGGCAGGCTGACAAAGGGCACAGAGCCATCAGGAATTAAGGAATGGGCAACTCCTCCATGAAAAGTGCCAAGACATGAGGTGCTTGCCAACAGTGGAAGGAATACAGAATGGGTAGTAGAGGAAAGTAGTTATAAATACCTGCTAAGGCCACATAACCAGTTGCAGAGATTAAAATTGACATGAAATTTTCTTATTTTAAGAATGTGTTTGAAAGGTCTTTATGTTTTCTTTCCTTGACTTACCATGTGATATAACATCAATTAAGAGAATAATAATGGTTATATCATTTTTAAGTTTGAGATACTAAAAAAAATGCCCCTCAAGGAACATTGCTGCCTATTTGAAATTTACGTGTTTGCGGTGGCTCTAGAGGGGATCCCAGGTGTCGACAGGATGTCCCCAGCAAGGTCCTTGGGCAGCAGAGGAGAGGGTGCCTAAACTGGCCTTGCCCCACTATTACGCTGATGATTATCTCGAATATCACCATAGAATCTTCGCCTGGTGACGGATGGAGATAGAGACAGAGACCCTCATCAGAGCAACAGACTGAGCTCCCAAGGTCCAGTGGAAAGGCAGAAAGAGGGAGAAGATGAGCAAGGAAGTCAGGACCATGAGGGATTGGTCCACCAACTGAGGCAGTGTGCCAGTTCTAATGGGAGCTCACCAAATCCAGCTGGACCGGGTCTGAATGAGCATGAGATCAAACCAGACTCTCTGATTAGGGCTGACAATGGAGGCTGACTGAGAAGCTATTGATAAAGGCAATGGGACTTGTTTTTATAGCATGTTCTGGCTTTTTGGGACCCTAGTCTATATGGATGCACAGCTCCCTAGGCCTGGATATAGCAGGGAGGGCCTTGGACTTCCCACAGGGCAGGATTCCCTTCCCTCTCTCAAGCAGGGAGTGACAGGGAGGAGGGTGTGTGGGGGAGCCGGAGGGGATTGGGAGGAGGGAAGGAAGTGTAAATAATTGAATGGAAAAATAAAAATTAAAAAAACAATGTGTTTGCATTTGTGAGAGGTATAGTTATATCACGTTAGGTGTTACTTTTGACCTGATTAAATCTGAAATGCCTTTGTGATGGTGCATGGGCTACTTGTATCATGTTTAAGTGTTATTATGACCTAGCTATTGTTTTCATTTGGCAATTAATCATTACATGAGATATGATTGTGTGTGAAGTTGACAAGGAGTGCACTTGTGATAGCTATTCTTAGTAGTCAATTTGACTACATCTGGAATTAAATAAAACACAAAAATGGACAGCACATCTGTGAAGCATTTTTGATTAATTTTAAGTGGAAAGAGCTACGTCTAATCTGGATCTTTGAGGTAGAAAAACACACCTTTAATACAGACCTTGAGGCAGGAGAACACGCCTTTAATTCATATCTAATCTGGGCCACACCTTCTGCTGGAAACATGTATAAACACATGGAAGAAGGCAGTATCTGCTCTTTGCCTGCTAACTAAGTTCACAACTAAGTTCATCCCTTCACTGGATTTAGAGCCCATTTCTTTGGGATTCTAGTGTAGGCTGATGAGTAACTGAGACATCCCAACTAATGGACTGAACAAGTAGTAGATTCTTGGGCTATACAGTATACAGTCATTGTTGGATTGGCTAGACCACAGCCTGTAAGCCATTCTAATACAGCCCCTTTCTGTGATTATATAGAGAGGTTCATTCTGTAAGTTCTGTTACTTTAGAGAACCCTGACTAGTCAACAAGTCCCATGGATCTGTTGGTCCTGATATTACTAGAGCAGATCACCATGCTCAGTTTTTTGTTTGTTTGTTTGTTTTTGTTTTAAGATCACAATATAATTACAATACTCAGCTTTTACAATTTGGATTCTGAGTTCAAACTCAGGTCTACCTGCTTTCCAGATAAGCACTTTATGGATTGAGCTGTTTTCCCAATTCTAACAGTACTGTTTAAAAATCAAAGAAATCAAAATGAATATGTAAGCTAAGTGATAGGGCAAGAAAGGGATATTCAATAGATCATTATAAAACAATACTTTTTGAGAGGAGAGGTAGCTTAAGATGGGTACACGATACTCCAGTCTTTCCCCCAATTAGTGCCACCAGGCCTCCATGCCCGTGTGGAACCAAGATTGTGAGTTTCTCTTCCTCAGAATGGGGTTTATGAAAGGGGCAAGAATATGGGGCTACTTTAAGAGATACCAAGTGAGATTCAGAAGGCAGTGAGAGGGTAAAACTGACTACTATGCTTATAAACGATTGGTGATCCAGGACAAAGTACAATTCACTCAAATACAGGATGACAGCTTGTGTAACTAACAGAGATATCATCTGCCAGATGTGTATGCCTGTAGAAGTGGATAAGATAGTCTGCACAGCACATGCGCATAACTGCCAAAGTACAGTGTAAAAATTGGCCTGACAAATTACGCTGAAGTCTATTGTACTGACCTGAGGCTGTTCAGAAGATTTCTCAATAGGTTTGACGTGGACAAGATCTATGAAAGTCAAATTGAGATGAATACAATGCGGAAAGCATTAAGGGTAAGCCTGGTGCCTTCACTTGCTATTTGGATGTAGGTATTGCCTGAACCACAACTGGCAATAATGTTTTTGTGGCTACCTGTATTTCTACACTTCCAAATTCTAGAACACGTCTCCGTCTCCAGAGAGTTAGTTCCCTCTGCCAGTCAGACTGATTTCCTGAAAACCTGCATTAAGTTCTCAGAGAGCAACAGCCGAAACACGGTTCCGTCAGTACTCGGTCCTTGGGGCTGCAGCCCCTTTTCTTTCACATGACTGAGGTTCCTCTTCTTCGATTAGACTTTTGGAATGGCGTTTCTTTGGCCCCTGTTTGATGACAATGACTCGTTGAATTTGAACACCGGCTCTAACTACTCTCGGCGCAAAGGGCGGCGACCCAGCAGAGAAGCGAAGGGCTCCGGGAAGCCATTCTCGCGAGAAGACCAACTCTCGCGGTGTCTCCTGGGTTCCAGACTCCTTAGCGCGAGGCGGAACCTTCTTGCAGCTCAGCCTCCGGACGCCGCCGTTTGGACGGAAGCTCCCGCGGAGCGACCCTTATCCGGCTGCGGCTTCTCGGAAGATGGCGGGGCCTGAGCCGCCGCTGCCGCGAGGAGGCCCAGGCTCCGCTTCGCTCTCTCCGCCCCGGGGAGACCGCACCCTCCTCGTCAGGCACCTACCGGCCGAGCTGACAGCCGAGGAGAAGGAGGACTTGCTGAAGTACTTCGGGGCGCAGTCGGTGCGCGTTCTGTCCGATAAGGGGCGCCTGGTAAGCGGGGGATGGCGGGAAAGAGGGGAGGAGGGGGGTGCGGGCCAGGCCGGGGCGAGGGGGGGGGGAGGAGGCTCTCTGCGCGTGCGCGGCGTCCCTGGTTGTGATGTGATCACCACCTTGCGCAGACCGCGGCCCGCTGCCCGACCCAGTGCCGCTTTACGTGCACCCACCCCCAGACGTGCACATATTTCTGTTAGAGGGTTACAGACGTCTGAGAAAGGATTTTTTGAAAACTCGCGGTTGTAGAGCAGGGACTGCGTTGTTTCCGGAAAAGCGAGTGAGCTGGATGTCGCGTGTTATTGACAGTGAGAAAGCTTTCCCCAAGGTAACGATATTTTGAGAGTTGAAAGTCCTTGTGGAATGCTCAGCTAATTCTTTTTTTCTTCGTGCGGATGTTTGATATTTTTCTACGTTTTTAAAAGGGCAGTGGTGCACGTATTTAATCCCAGTACTCGGGAAGCAGAGGCAGGAGGATCTATGTGAGTTCGAGGCCAGCCCGGTCTACAAGAGCTAGTTCCAGGACAGGCTTCAAAGCTGCAGAGAAACCCTGTCTCGAAAAACCAAATAACCAACAACAACAACAGCAAAAAAAGATAATAGCCTGTGATGGAGCCAGACAGGTTTTAAAGTTTTAGGAGACTTTGATTGTGTACTCAAAATTGAGAATTGTTGATTTAGAAGAAAGACCCCGATATTTGCGCATTTACAGTGTTATGCTTTCTAACAAATGGAAATTAAAAATATTCTATGGCTCAGTCTAAATACACTAAGACCATTTCATTTTATTTCAGAAACATACAGCGTTTGCTACCTTCCCTAATGAAAAAGCAGCAATAAAGGTATGCATTTTTCTTTATTATTAAAGCTTTCAGAGATTTCTTTTCCCTTCTTAGGACAGAATGGAAGGTAATGTAAACTGTCATTTTCAGAAGCAAAATTATTTGTGTTCCAAGACTTTCCCCAAAAGGCTACAGCTGACTTGGCAGATGTTAAAGCTTGTCCAGTGATTAGATACTGAGATATAGGAATCATAGATTATTAATAAGCAAGGTAAGGATAATAACATCATGTATACTTTTTTAAAAAGAAATTTGAAAGGATATTAGATAATTATTTGTAATGTTTATGGTACTTTTTAATATTAAAAGGTATAAATCTAAGGAATCATTTGTAGAGTTGTCATCTTTGAGCTAGACCTCAGATGAGTCATTAAATTTTGAGAAGAAAACAAATTGTTCTTTCGCGTTTAGAAAACAGTAAAATTGGGCGTGGAATGGTATAAGTCAGCCAGGCGCTAAATGCAGTGGCAGAAATAAGAATAAAAAAATTGAGTCTCTATATATGTAGAAGAGAGGTAGTAAATTTTGTTTAGGAGGTAACCTAACTGAACTGATTATTTTGAGAAGGCAAAAATATGGTTAGACCCATGAAAACTATCTGATTGGGTTGATGCACTTAAATAGTGCAGTGAATGTAGAGAAAAAATTGGAACTGGGAAGACTACATGGGCTGTTTTAGAGGCCAAGGCAAGACTATGAATCTGAAGAGGGCAATAAGAAAACTATGGGAGAGGAATATATGTACACTTTGGAGAGAAATTGTTTGTGGATCTTGGACTACAGAAGTAATTCAGTAAAGTATGTATAAAATACACAGGACCTGAGTTGAAATCACAGTTCTACAGAAATAAAGTTTGTAGGTCATAGATACATAGAATTTGACAACAAAAAAGTAGTTCAGGTTCTTAATTTGTTTTACATTTATATTTATTCATATGTATGTGCATGTACGTTTTATTTACACATTTGCCACTACACACATGCGGAGGTCAGACGACAGGAGTTGTTGTCTCCTTCCACAGCTTATGTCTCAGGAATAGAACTAAGGTTATCAGTCTTAACGGCAAGCGCCTTTACCCATCTGAGTTATCTTTCTAGCCCTAGTTCAGATCTTTGGACTGATAAATTTATATGACAAAAAAAAAACCTGAGGGTCTTTACATAGTCGTGTAATGAAAATATGTAATATTCTCCCTTGTAGCAAGTGTTCTCTGTACTGCAAGCTCCCAAATAATGGCATCGAGACTGATAAATTACGAAAGCTTGGCCGAAGTAGCAATGAAATAATTTTATGGTTGGGGGTAACCACAACATGATGAAATGTATAGAGGGTCTCAGCTTATGAGAACCATTATCCAAAGAGTAGCTAAAGATAGACATGAAATGATAGAGGATGGAATTTTGTCACTAAGTCTATCAGCTGGATTTAGAATATGAACAGTTAACTTATAGTAACACAGGCAAAGTGGAACATGGGGATACATATGCTAGGGATAAAGAGTTAAAGTCCACAGTTTTTTCATTTAGTCTCCTTATTTGTCTCAAAGTAGGAATCAAGGTACTATACTAAGATAGGAGAAGAGACTGTGAGGTGACCTATTAAGGAAAAAAACGTACAGAAATTTTGCTTAGAGATCAGTGCAATTTATGCCAAGATTGTGATATATAATTGTCTGGTGTCAATAAGGGTCATGTTGAACATTTTGTGGTTGAAATTTAGTGTGTCACCAGAAGATTAATTATGGTTATTTTTTTTTTTTGTATCTGTATTCAGCTTAGGTATAAGCAGTTAGCAGAATATTGAAGTCAGATTTCATTTTACTAAAGAACAGTAGGTTGAGAAGTAATAATAGTAAAATAGCCAGAGAAGGAAGTATATACAATCTTAGTAGTAAAAAAAAACTATATATTTTGTTCAATTAAGATGACTTAAGTGATTTTTTTTTGTTGTTGTTTTTGTGTTTTTTTATTGCTGTACCTAAAGGCGTTGACAAGACTCCATCAGCTGAAACTTCTAGGTCATACTTTAGTTGTTGAATTTGCAAAAGAGCAAGATCGAGTTCATTCCCCCTGTCCCACTTCAAATACAGAGAAAAAGAAAAGGTTTGTAGATACTCATGTTTTACTCCCATTTTGAAAAGTGCCTCTGTGTGTGCGTGCGTGCACACGCATATGCATGTTTGTCTAGTCATTTTTATACTTAACTGCATTGTTGATTGACAAAATAAGTGGAAAGGCTTAATAACATGTAGCTCTAGTAAATCTGAAAAGTAAAGTAGTATTTCTGTTTCTAGTTGTACAGAGGACTGAGTCTTGAAAGATAATAAATAAAGGAAAAAGGAAGTGGGGTGGATGGCATTCTACTTTTAGTGGAAGGGCAACTACAGGTTAATTATCCTTTACCTGAAATATTTGGGATAAATAGTATTTTATTTGGAATAATTACATTTGCATGATTAATTATCTTTGAAATGTTAATCCCAATCCTAAGCATGGAGTTCATTTGTTTTATATCTGCCTTGTAATTATATAATATTTTATATAAAGTAATTTATATAATATTTTTAGTGTGTCCCTGTTTTGTGATCTGTTACATGAGGCTACCAGTAGAATTTTCTAATTTGTAACATCATGTTGCCTCAAACAGTTTCATCTTTCAATAGATTTCAGAATCCAACCTATAGGAATAACACTCTTTATTAGCGATAACAGGGTACCCTGAATAGGCATGGCTTTTTTTTTTCCTTTAGCCTCTCATTTGGATCCTTTCTCTGCAAAATGTCTGCCTGTGGGTCTGTGCATTTGTTCTGGAGAAAGTCTCTCTGATGATGGCTGGATACAGCACTGATCTATGAATATGGCAAGATATCATCAGGAGTCACTTTATTGATTATCTATCTATCTATCTATCTATCTATCTATCTATCTATCTATCTAT